TATTCTTCCTGTTTAGAACCTAAATACTAATCGATGAATAGGTTCTTTTTGTTGTAAATCAATAGTTTTTAAATGCTCATAAATCACCTTGAGAACCCAATGATACAATTATTATACTCTTTAAACAATACAGAATATTATAGGTTTACTTTCGAGAAACTAAAATTTTCAATATTAAACCAAATATAAAAAACCGAAACGCGACATTAACATGAAATTTTTAGTAAAAATTAAACTCTATAAGAGGATTAAGACTATTTTTTATTCTAAAAAAAATTCGGAATAAAAATGGGGGGAGGGTTAATAGTTTGAAATATTAAAAAATATATTAACTCAGAAACGAAGAAGGATATGAGCTTAAAATTTACAGGAAAAGTCAAGCTCTATAAGAGGGGGACAAAGACTATTGAATTTGGAAAAATCTGATTAGGGGAGTTGGAAATTTAAAAAAAAATATAATTTAAAAACTAAAAACGATATCAGATTTAATTTTTTAGTAAAAATAAAGCTCTATAAAGAAATGGCTTCTTTTGAATCTAAAAAAATATGAATTAAATGAAGGGGGGCTTAAGGGAGGTTGAAATATTAAAAATACACTAACTCAGAAACAAAAGACGAATCAATTTGAAATCTTCAAATGAAGCCCATTAATTTTGAAAAAATCTAATTAATAATGAGGGGTCTGTTAAACTGTGAAGAGTATAATATAGAATGCTAAGCAGGTTATAATCTATTGTAGTTTTATATTAATTTTCCTACGACCACTTAGGCAAGTGGACATACATCACTATTTAGTCTTATGGGAAGTGCCATATATCACACGCGTGTGGATAAGAATCTACTTTCCGCCCATGAATAAATATGAATCTACTTTCCGCATCAGCTGTCAAATATCTCAAACGGATCATTTCTATTTTGATGTATATAATGTATATAACTTATAATAGAAAATAATAGTAAAAAATAGTTAATAATAGTAAATAATAGAGCAGAGAAGTTATTTATCCCGTCTAAATAAAATAGCGAAAAGAAAAAAGACTTCTACAATGAAAGAAGTATATTCATATAAATAACAATAAATACTAAAAAGTATATAACTGCATTTGAATACCAGCACTTAGGAAATGGCCACAATACATGTCCAAATGGTTATGTATGTAGTACGCGGTGATCGGTGCCTCCATCTACGAACGCGTAAATAGTAAATATTAGTAAATAATAGTAAATAATAGTAAATAATAGTAAATAATAGCAAATAATAGTAAATAATAGTAAATAATAGTAGATAATAGTAAATAATAGTAAATAACAGTAAATAACAGTAAATAATAGTAAATAATAGTATATAATAGTAAATAATAGTAAATAATAGTAAATAATAGTAAATAATAGTAAATAATAGTAAATAATAGTAAATAATAGTAAATAATAGTAAATAATAGTAAATAATAGTAAATAATAGTAAATAATAGTAAATAATAGTAAATAATAGTAAATAATAGTAAATAATAGTAAATAATAGTAAATAATAGTAAATAATAGTAAATAATAGTAAATAATAGTAAATAATAGTAAATAATAGTAAATAATAGTAAATAATAGTAAATAATAGTATATAATAGTAAATAATAGTAAATAATAGTAAATAATAGTAAATAATAGTAAATAATAGTAAATAATAGTAAATAATAGTAAATAATAGTAAATAATAGTAAATAATAGTAAATAATAGTAAATAATAGTAAATAATAGTAAATAATAGTAAATAATAGTAAATAATAGTAAATAATAGTAAATAATAGTAAATAATAGTAAATAATAGTAAATAATAGTAAATAATAGTAAATAATAGTAAATAATAGTAAATAATAGTAAATAATAGTAAATAATAGTAAATAATAGTAAATAATAGTAAATAATAGTAAATAATAGTAAATAATAGTAAATAATAGTAAATAATAGTAAATAATAGTAAATAATAGTAAATAATAGTAAATAATAGTAAATAATAGTAAATAATAGTAAATAATAGTAAATAATAGTAAATAATAGTAAATAATAGTAAATAATAGTAAATAATAGTAAATAATAGTAAATAATAGTAAATAATAGTAAATAATAGTAAATAATAGTAAATAATAGTAAATAATAGTAAATAATAGTAAATAATAGTAAATAATAGTAAATAATAGTAAATAATAGTAAATAATAGTAAATAATAGTAAATAATAGTAAATAATAGTAAATAATAGTAAATAATAGTAAATAATAGTAAATAATAGTAAATAATAGTAAATAATAGTAAATAATAGTAAATAATAGTAAATAATAATAAATAATAGTAAATAATAGTAAGTAGTACAAGACAACTACAAAGATCGATTATCGCCAGTGGAAAATTTATAGATAATTACTGCCCACATAGTATCGATACATAAGGAGGTAGTAGATAGATTTCAAAAATTAACAACTCAATTAGCCCATGACTCAAGGCAGGAAAATAGTTCATGGACATCGAGAGGACCACAGAAGATTATCCTCTTATTTATTTTTTGATAGACTAGTAGACATAAATTAATACAATAAATAATTATATAATAGCAATAATGTTCAAGTTTGGATTTTGCGATGCGGTTCCAATTCCCTATATTGAAAAAGTAAGACTATTGTTATTTATTTATTATAAATACATTTTACTTACCATAATAATCTCTACAGTTAGTCAATTCGTTAATATTTCCGCTATTCACTTTGCATTATGTTCACAGTTGTTCATCTTTTTATTTGTAGTAGGTAATAAAAAAAGTTAATGAAAAATAATATAGTGCTTTTTATAATTTTTTTGTACCTAATACGAGTACTACCTTCCTATTAAAGTGTTTGTAAATGGAATCATGTTTTTAATTTCAATAAAACCCTTTTTGTAATTTTTGTATTTTTTGTAATTTTTGTAATTTTTGTAATTTTTGTAATTTTTGTAATTTTTGTAATTTTTGTAATTTTTGTAATTTTTGTAATTTTTGTAATTTTTGTAATTTTTGTAATTTTTGTAATTTTTGTAATTTTTGTAATTTTTGTAATTTTTGTAATTTTTGTAATTTTTGTAATTTTTGTAATTTTTGTAATTTTTGTAATTTTTGTAATTTTTGTAATTTTTGTAATTTTTGTAATTTTTGTAATTTTTGTAATTTTTGTAATTTTTGTAATTTTTGTAATTTTTGTAATTTTTGTAATTTTTGTAATTTTTGTAATTTTTGTAATTTTTGTAATTTTTGTAATTTTTGTAATTTTTGTAATTTTTGTAATTTTTGTAATTTTTGTAATTTTTGTAATTTTTGTAATTTTTGTAATTTTTGTAATTTTTGTAATTTTTGTAATTTTTGTAATTTTTGTAATTTTTGTAATTTTTGTAATTTTTGTAATTTTTGTAATTTTTGTAATTTTTGTAATTTTTGTAATTTTTGTAATTTTTGTAATTTTTGTAATTTTTGTAATTTTTGTAATTTTTGTAATTTTTGTAATTTTTGTAATTTTTGTAATTTTTGTAATTTTTGTAATTTTTGTAATTTTTGTAATTTTTGTAATTTTTGTAATTTTTGTAATTTTTGTAATTTTTGTAATTTTTGTAATTTTTGTAATTTTTGTTTTTGTAATTTTTGTAATTTTTGTAATTTTTGTAATTTTTGTAATTTTTGTAATTTTTGTAATTTTTGTAATTTTTGTAATTTTTGTAATTTTTGTAATTTTTGTAATTTTTGTAATTTTTGTAATTTTTGTAATTTTTGTAATTTTTGTAATTTTTGTAATTTTTGTAATTTTTGTAATTTTTTTTGAAGATTTATAGTTTATTCCATAATTCCAATTTGGACAACAGTTGTCTATTCCTAGCACATTAAATTTCATCGCATAGAGTAGGACACCAGTAGCATCGCTTCTACTAGAATTGAAAAAACTGGGGAGAGAGGAGAATGTTTGTGCCGAAGAGAGTCGGAATCTAATGACGTCAAAATTTACAAATTTGATTGTTGTTATGGTCTAATCAGGGGTCTCCAAACTTTCCAGCTTTAGGGCAATACTGATTACTCCAGTAAGTTTCAAGGGCCAAAACCGTTTTAAGTTATCTGCCAATTATCTATAATTTCTAGACTAGTCGCCCAGTACGCGCCCTGAGCGAGCATACACTTGCTAAATTCGCTAGTTGAATTATTATTGTGTGTTGTTACGACACTTCGGTTAGTATTATAGCATCATATTGGGACGTAATGGATCCGTAGTTAATATAGAAAACTGTACTTTTCCCTCCTAAGCTCCGATAATTTTGGTAATAAATTCTAAGTGACTTTTTACAAGTTCTCAATGGCATGTTAATATTATTGGCTGTACGTCCTGTTTTACGTTCTAAAACAAAGTGTATAAGGGCTAAACCTGCTTCTGGTAGGACGAGTGTATACTATCATTAGTCGTTAATTTTATAATCTAATCGAAAAACTAATATCTAATTAACTAAAATGGCTCGCAGTTTTTGTTAACAAAATGCAGCATGGTAAGAAGTGGAAATCGTTCATGGCCGTTACCTATATGGATTGTTCCTAATAAGGAATACGGACATTCTTTGAGAAACTAAATAAAAATCAAAGTGGAATGACGATATCTACGCTGTCGACTAACATTTGGTTATTGTGACTAATGTACGTGCTATTATTTTAAAAGTCAATAAATATGGTTGAGCTAAAGGCGCCTTTTAAAAAAATAATACAGACAAAAAATTAAAATCTGTAAAATGCAAACGAGAAGATTTATAGAGAAAATATATATTTTAACTCTCAATAAAAATTCGTAATAACTGTTGTACCTAAATACAGAGAAATAAGACAGTGTCTTTAGGTAGGTCATCCGAAATTTCAAATAGGGAACAATGTTAGGACTTGAGGGTCTGGAGTTAACTAATGTATAAACTAATGTAGAAACTAATGTAGAAACTAATGTAGAAACTAATGTAGAAACTAATGTAGAAACTAATGTAGAAACTAATGTAGAAACTAATGTAGAAACTAATGTAGAAACTAATGTAGAAACTAATGTAGAAACTAATGTAGAAACTAATGTAGAAACTAATGTAGTAACTAATGTAGAAACTAATGTAGAAACTAATGTAGAAACTAATGTAGAAACTAATGTAGAAACTAATGTAGAAACTAATGTAGAAACTAATGTAGAAACTAATGTAGAAACTAATGTAGAAACTAATGTAGAAACTAACGTAGAAATTAACGTAGAAACTAATGTAGAAACTAATGTAGAAACTAATGTAGAAACTAATGTAGAAACTAATGTAGAAACTAATGTAGAAACTAATGTAGAAACTAATGTAGAAACTAATGTAGAAACTAATGTAGAAACTAATGTAGAAACTAATGTAGAAACTAATGTAGAAACTAATGTAGAAACTAATGTAGAAACTAATGTAGAAACTAATGTAGAAACTAATGTAGAAACTAATGTAGAAACTAATGTAGAAACTAATGTAGAAACTAATGTAGAAACTAATGTAGAAACTAATGTAGAAACTAATGTAGAAACTAATGTAGAAACTAATGTAGAAACTAATGTAGAAACTAATGTAGAAACTAATGTAGAAACTAATGTAGAAACTAATGTAGAAACTAATGTAGAAACTAATGTAGAAACTAATGTAGAAAATAATGTAGAAACTAATGTAGAAACTAATGTAGAAACTAATGTAGAAACTAATGTAGAAACTAATGTAGAAACTAATGTAGAAACTAATGTAGAAATTAACGTAGAAACTAACGTAGAAACTAATGTAGAAACTAATGTAGAAACTAATGTAGAAACTAATGTAGAAACTAATGTAGAAACTAATGTAGAAACTAATGTAGAAACTAATGTAGAAACTAATGTAGAAACTAATGTAGAAACTAATGTAGAAACTAATGTAGAAACTAATGTAGAAGCTAATGTAGAAACTAATGTAGAAACTAATGTAGAAACTAATGTAGAAACTAATGTAGAAACTAATGTAGAAACTAATGTAGAAACTAATGTAGAAACTAATGTAGAAACTAATGTAGAAACTAATGTAGAAACTAATGTAGAAACTAATGTAGAAACTAATGTAGAAACTAATGTAGAAACTAATGTAGAAACTAATGTAGAAACTAATGTAGAAACTAATGTAGAAACTAATGTAGAAACTAATGTAGAAACTAATGTAGAAACTAATGTAGAAACTAATGTAGAAACTAATGTAGAAACTAATGTAGAAACTAATGTAGAAACTAATGTAGAAACTAATGTAGAAACTAATGTAGAAACTAATGTAGAAACTAATGTAGAAACTAATGTAGAAACTAATGTAGAAACTAATGTAGAAACTAATGTAGAAACTAATGTAGAAACTAATGTAGAAACTAATGTAGAAACTAATGTAGAAACTAATGTAGAAACTAATGTAGAAACTAATGTAGAAACTAATTGTACTGGATTAAAAACAGTTTTTGGTTGCTTTTAAAACAGATTCGGGTTCTTTTAAGAAAACAAATATAGTGCGGAATATTTTCTATTAAATGATGAGAGTAGATATATATTTTGTGGTTTTAGATAATTAAGCACAAATGGATTATAAACAGGTGAGTAATTATATACCTTAATTATTATTTGATATAAATATAAATGATTTTAGGTAGTTTGAAAAGCAATTATAAATCGAAGATATTCTGAAGATTTAAAGGCTTGAAGAGCTTGAAATACAATGAATTAAATTTTAGTAATTGCTGTGACAACCTACGGTAAGATGTAATTTATTTCTAGAAATAAATAGTTAGTAAATAATATTAATAAAATTAGATTAAACAATAAATTTTTATAAAATCAAAGCAAATTATATTAAACGTCACCAATTGGGTGTAGAGACAAGTGCATAAAAAAAAAAATGATTAGGTAAAGATAAAGTTAGTAGCTAAATATTCTTAGCTGTTTTTCCAGGTCTTCTGGCTGTTAACCATGAGTCGAGTCTCCAGTTATCTTAAATCCAAAGAGATGGACTGGTTGGATTCCTCCACTAGTTCTATTTAATGTCTTTAAATAATTCGGTGTCTAGGAACCTCCGGGTTCCAGACTAGATATAGTTAATTCAAAAATTAATCTTCAGGTTGTAATTTGAATGGGAATGAGATTGACAATCAGCATAAGAGTGACAGACTGCTTAAGAGTGAAAGTGATAGTCTGCATAAGAGTGAAAGTCTGCATAAGAGGCCTAAAAATATATTGCCAAAATTAGGATGATAAAATGTGTAATAATATTCTTTTTTTTTTATAGGGGTTATTCCTTAAAAACTCACCTTGGATGATGGGTGGCCACAAAGGGGCTTCAACTGAAGTTACTATAAAAAGTTGAAAAACTCTAAATATTCGGAACTTTTATCCACAATGGTGAGATTATTGTTCAGTATTTTCACAAAATCTTTTAGTTCACTAAATATGAGGTTCTTCGAAGAAAATCCGCAAAATGCGGGCACGCTTCTTTCTCAGAAAATGTGCTCAATGCAAAAAAAAAAGCAAGAACCACTTTTTTGCTAATATTTTGCCGCGAAGTTTTAGGAATAAATTAATTGTTTTAGTTGGTATCCTGTTTTCTTCTTTTAATTGATTTAAGAGAAATTACTGTTTTAAGAATAAATGACAAATTAGAAATTAAGAGAAGAAATGTGGGAGAATATGACAATTCTTAGACAAGGTTATAATAATTGTTTGTTTACAATATTTGAATATTTTTAATTATTATTTTTTTTTTTATTTTAGAAATGAAATATGGGGAAACTAACCAGCCAAGATCATTGGATTCTTAACGAAAAATAGCATATAAAATTTATAGTTATACAAATTATTTTATTAAATAAAGTTCATTTGTTTTGTTTTGACTCTTGAATCGCATCGAGGTATGAAAATAATTAAATTTAAATATTTATATGATTGAAAATATGATAGAATCATAAAAAAAAAAGGTAACTAATGTAAATTTTAAATATATAGCTTAGTAAGGTACTTTTAGCCTGTAACAACACCACCCCTTCCTAAATAAAGTTTCGAAGAAACTTTTAAAATATCCGCCTAAAATCTAATTAAAAAAAAAAATACAATAAACTTAAGCTAAGAGTCCTTCATCATCTGGAGGTTTGGATTTAATATCCTTGGCATTCCAAACGCCTGCAGTTTTTCCTTTATCGTCTACTAACTCATACGACCAAGGGGACAACACATTATGGACTCTGAACGGTCCTACGTATTTTTGAGCCAGTTTGGCACTGAAATACTTTGAAGCATCTGACTGAACGTAATTCTTTCTATATACAATATCTCCTACATTGTACTTTTCATTTCTGTGGCGTAGATTATAGGTTTTACTCGATTTATCAAAAGCAATCTTAAGACGCTTTTTAACATCGGAAAACAATTTACCTAGTGCTTCGGATTTATCGAATTTTACTGTGGATGATGGTTGTTCAACGGAAATGGGAGGAATAATGTCTGAACCATTAAGGATAATTTCTCGTCCAAAATTTATTAGATTCGGAGTAACTCCAGTTACATCGTGTTTCGACGATCGAATCGCACACGTAATTTTTGGGAGAAGTAAATCCCAATGGCGCTGGTCTTCCGAAACGTAAGCGGTTAGCATTGTCTTGATCACTCTATGAGTTCTCTCAACTGGGTTAGACGAGTTAACGGTGAAACTATAGACGAGAAAGATGGGATAAATCTACGATACCAAGATGCCATACCGACTATTCGTCTAACTTCTACAACGGTTCGAGGGATAGGAATTTTTAAAATGGCGTCGATTTTATCAGGATCTACTAAGAGTCCAGATTTATTTACAACGTAACCAAGATATTTGAGTTCAGGGCGGCAAAATAAGCATTTATCCCTATTAAGAGTAAGACCTGATTCTAGAATACGATTGAGAACAGTTTTCAGAACTTCAATATGCTGCTCGAACGTAGTCGTACAGATAATGATATCGTCCAAATACACAAAAGTATATTTATCTAATTCTGGTCCTAAAACAGTGTCAATGGCTCTTTGCCAAGTGGCGGGAGCCGAATGAAGACCAAACGGCATTCTACAAAACTGGAAAAGACCCCTATTGGGTACAGTAAAAGCCGTTAATGATCTTGATTCCTTCGCCACTGGTATTTGCCAGTAAGCTGATTTTACATCCAGTGTAGTTAGATAACGCGCGTCTCTGAGTTTATCTAGAATAGCTGACACATAAGGAATGGGATATGCATCGGGAGTACTGACGGAATTTAGTTTTTTATAATTAATGCAGAACCTCCATTTGTCTTTCCGGTTCACCATAACGATAGGTGACGACCAGGGAGAAGATGAAGGCTCTACAATCCCCTTCTTTAACATTTCATCGAGCTCAGTGTTAACAACTTTTTGTAAGGCCGGTGATAGCGGGTAGTATCTTTGTTTGATAGGTGGTGAGTCAGTGCGAATAACGTGTTCGACTGTTTTAATGCATCCCATTTCTCTATCCCCTATTGTCGCAAAGGCTTTATCTATAACAAGGTTAAGACGAGTCCTTTGCTCTTCAGTTAAGGAACCAAGGTCTTGAATACCAGGAGTTTGAACACTTCCGATAGTTTCACTATGACAAAATTGCCATTCTCCTTTAAACAAATCCGGTACAATATTCATAGAGGTCCAAAAGTCAATTCCGAGAATCAAAACTTGGGAAACAGAAGGAACGACTAGAATATCTAAAATACGAATTCTGTCTCGCAATCGTATTGGTACAGTGAGAGTGCCAAGGCTGTCACATGACTGCCCAGATGCTACAACACAAGATATCTTGTTTGAGGAATTAACTCGAACAATATCTTTAAATATTTCCCAACCAGGTCCTCCTAAAATTGTCCTAGATGCTCCGCTATCGAGCAAACCTAAAACTTGTTTTCCTAAAATTGAGACCATTAGATAGGGGCGCTGGTCACCTTGAGCGTGAGCGAGGATGTATTCAAGAATTACTAAATTAGATGAATTTATGGTCGTCTTAGGAGTCTCTTGTACCTCTTCCACCAGTTGACCTACTGAGTGGAAGGAATCTTGCCATTTTTTGAACATCGAGAGCAAGATTTTGATGTTACGCCTTCAAGGCCACACTTAAAGCAAAATAACTTTTTCGTTTGATTGCAATTTCGAAATTTATGTTTTTCTGAGCCACAGTTCCAACAAATTGGTTGAGTTTGTGCAGCCGTCACAGTATTTCGGGAGTGAACTATTTCAGCTACAGGGAAAGATGGATTGATCGATTTCCTGTATGCCAACTCAGGTTCCACTAGCGACCTAACATTAGAAGGGGGTGGGCAATATTGTCGCACCCTCGATTCAGTCTCTTCTATAGACTTACCAAAATTACATAACTCAGAAATGCTGTTTACGTTTTTAAGAGAAAGAGCCGTCTGAATATACGGAAGCATATTTCTTTTGATTAATTGCACACGGGTTTGTTCTGATGGTGGGATCTCAAGTTTTTTGAACATATTTTCCATCACCGAGATGTAATTAATTACACGCTCCTGTGAACCTTGTGTTCTCCGCCTTATTTCTTCCCAGAGAGCAAACTCATAGTCGTGAGGCTGGAATGCGACTCGTAAGTTGGTGACTAACTCATCCCAGGTATGGAATCTTCCCATCCTATACCAAAGGAGAGCGTCTTTCGTAAATAATTCCGGGGCCGAGCGGAGTAGACGTTCCTTAGAGACACCTCGACTTAACCTAAGTTCTTCTAGTCTCTCAAGGAAACTATTCACGTTAGAAACCCCATCATATTGTAACCTCCATCTACTGATATCAAAATTCTGAGACGTATTTTCATAAAAATGAGAGTTGTGGTCAAAAGAAGGGTTATTAAAAATAGGTGATTTATGGTCTAATTCCATATTTTTAAAAGAATTACAGAGATTAGGTGAATAAAAAGAAAGATTAGTACGTTTGCTAGGCTTAAAAGTATCGTTAGAAAACGAAACACGACGAGTGTCTGTAAAATCTTCGGAAAATTGATTATACCTTTCATTAGAATCAGAATACATGGAAGAATTGGCTAGATTGGAAAAGCGATCAAATAATTCGGAATTCAAAATGGGTTCTTCTAGATGGTCCGAAGTAGTTGAATTGGATGGGGAATATAATCTATTTAAGTCTGCTGATGATGATTCTCTATTTAAAGTAGAACTATGGCCATGTTCGAACACTTGCCTAAGAGCTGAAACCCTACCGGTTTGAAAAGCGGTCGATACCTGTTTTGCTTCCTGTAGCGAGGCATTCAACAAACTTACATGTCTCACCCTATTATTTATACATCCATCTTCGTTATTCTCAGCTTCTATTATTGATCTAGTATGCTGTGGTCCTACAATTTCTGGTAGTAACGGTACTGGTGTGTCCAATAATGACAAATGAAGATTCGATGTAGATTGATCACTTTGTTCAGAAGTTTCATACGCTGTCTTTAGTTCGATTGATAATTGATTATGCAAATTTAACAAGGTAGTTAATTTCGAAGTAATATTTGCGTCATCACATTGAAGTCTGATAAGACGTAAGTTTAAATGAATTAATCTAGCTGAAATTCTTTTATATTCATTTACTCGGTTAGATGAATTAAAGCATTTTATACTATCCTCTAAATCTCCTAGTTTTCCCGAACAAATTGACATTTCGTGCAAGGGATCTAAATTTACTGCACAATGAGAAGACCTTATCCCTGATCTTTCCTCCTTAAGAGCTTCACGTAAAACTGCTCTTTTTCTATCTAGGGTACCCTCAACAGGTAAACCTCTGATAGAAAGTTCATATGTGACTTCGTCACCTAAAAGTCTGTTTACTTCCATAATTAAATTTACTTAATCTATACAAGCTTAAAAGTACACGGCAGTGCAACCCTACCCTTCGTTAATTAAAAAAAAAAGAAAAAAAAAATCCTTAAGTACCTAAGTACGGCTTTGTCACTAGAAAATCTATTTACAAAAAAAAACAGGTAGTGAGAATTCCCGAAAATAATGACTATCCGTAATGTCGGAAAACAAAATTATAAAAACCGCAAAGTAATATTAACTAGCATTAATAAAGAAAAAGTGCGCTTTTGCAAAGCTACTGCGCATTCAGTTTTGCTTCAATAAAGTTACTGCGCATGAATACACTTACTGCGCATCCAAATTTACTTCAGTAGAGTCAATGCGCACAAATACGCTTACTGCGCATCCAAATTTGCTTCAATAAAGTCAATGCGCATGAATACGCTTACTGCGCATCCAAATTTGCTTCAATAAAGTCAATGCGCACAAATACAATTACTGCGCATATATTCCTACAACCTATTGTACACCCAAAATGTACTCTGCCCAAAATATCAAATAATTAATCCTAAGTTTGTACCTATTACTGCGCACGTAAATATCAAATTATTCCTAAAAAAAATCTACTGCGCATCAATGATACATTTAAAAAAAATCAATTCATTTCACCAAAAGATGAATATAATAAAAATTAAACAAAAGCAGAGTCAAATCAAACCAAATAAATCGTAGCTAATCGTGCTCAAAAAAAGAATTATCTCTTATCAATAAGATAATAAATTGCTTCAGTAGCGACTCAAAAAAATATTATAGTTAATTTAAATATCTTAAATTCGAACCAAAATATTTAATAAAATATCAAAATATTTAATAAAATATCAAAATATTTAAGAAAATATTAAAATCAACTTATTTTAATACTGCAAATGTACAATATGCATCTATCATAATATGATTTAATATCAATTTTATTTTCATTCAATTCAAAATAACCAATGCTGTTGGTAAAAATTTACAAGATTCGATGACGTCAGAAGAGATGGATCGTTTATTCTACTACACGAGCATGAGACTCTTAATCTCAGGGTCGTGGGTTCGGGCCCCACGTTGGGCGCCATTTTGTACTGGATTAAAAACAGTTTTTGGTTGCTTTTAAAACAGATTCGGGTTCTTTTAAGAAAACAAATATAGTGCGGAATATTTTCTATTAAATGATGAGAGTAGATATATATTTTGTGGTTTTAGATAATTAAGCACAAATGGATTATAAACAGGTGAGTAATTATATACCTTAATTATTATTTGATATAAATATAAATGATTTTAGGTAGTTTGAAAAGCAATTATAAATCGAAGATATTCTGAAGATTTAAAGGCTTGAAGAGCTTGAAATACAATGAATTAAATTTTAGTAATTGCTGTGACAACCTACGGTAAGATGTAATTTATTTCTAGAAATAAATAGTTAGTAAATAATATTAATAAAATTAGATTAAACAATAAATTTTTATAAAATCAAAGCAAATTATATTAAACGTCACCAATTGGGTGTAGAGACAAGTGCATAAAAAAAAAAATGATTAGGTAAAGATAAAGTTAGTAGTTAAATATTCTTAGCTGTTTTTCCAGGTCTTCTGGCTGTTAACCATGAGTCGAGTCTCCAGTTATCTTAAATCCAAAGAGATGGACTGGTTGGATTCCTCCACTAGTTCTATTTAATGTCTTTAAATAATTCGGTGTCTAGGAACCTCCGGGTTCCAGACTAGATATAGTTAATTCAAAAATTAATCTTCAGGTTGTAATTTGAATGGGAATGAGATTGACAATCAGCATAAGAGTGACAGACTGCTTAAGAGTGAAAGTGATAGTCTGCATAAGAGTGAAAGTCTGCATAAGAGGCCTAAAAATATATTGCCAAAATTAGGATGATAAAATGTGTAATAATATTCTTTTTTTTTTATAGGGGTTATTCCTTAAAAACTCACCTTGGATGATGGGTGGCCACAAAGGGGCTTCAACTGAAGTTACTATAAAAAGTTGAAAAACTCTAAATATTCGGAACTTTTATCCACAATGGTGAGATTATTGTTCAGTATTTTCACAAAATCTTTTAGTTCACTAAATATGAGGTTCTTCGAAGAAAATCCGCAAAATGCGGGCACGCTTCTTTCTCAGAAAATGTGCTCAATGCAAAAAAAAAAGCAAGAACCACTTTTTTGCTAATATTTTGCCGCGAAGTTTTAGGAATAAATTAATTGTTTTAGTTGGTATCCTGTTTTCTTCTTTTAATTGATTTAAGAGAAATTACTGTTTTAAGAATAAATGACAAATTAGAAATTAAGAGAAGAAATGTGGGAGAATATGACAATTCTTAGACAAGGTTATAATAATTGTTTGTTTACAATATTTGAATATTTTTAATTATTATTTTTTTTTTTATTTTAGAAATGAAATATGGGGAAACTAACCAGCCAAGATCATTGGATTCTTAACGAAAAATAGCATATAAAATTTATAGTTATACAAATTATTTTATTAAATAAAGTTCATTTGTTTTGTTTTGACTCTTGAATCGCATCGAGGTATGAAAATAATTAAATTTAAATATTTATATGATTGAAAATATGATAGAATCATAAAAAAAAAAGGTAACTAATGTAAATTTTAAATATATAGCTTAGTAAGGTACTTTTAGCCTGTAACATAATGTAGAAACTAATGTAGAAACTAATGTAGAAACTAATGTAGAAACTAATGTAGAAACTAATGTAGAAACTAATGTAGAAACTAATGTAGAAACTAATGTAGAAACTAATGTAGAAACTAATGTAGAAACTAATGTAGAAACTAATGTAGAAACTAATGTAGAAACTAATGTAGAAACTAATGTAGAAACTAATGTAGAAACTAATGTAGAAACTAATGTAGAAACTAATGTAGAAACTAATGTAGAAACTAATGTAGAAACTAATGTAGAAACTAATGTAGAAACTAATGTAGAAACTAATGTAGAAACTAATGTAGAAACTAATGTAGAAACTAATGTAGAAACTAATGTAGAAACTAATGTAGAAACTAATGTAGAAACTAATGTAGAAACTAATGTAGAAACTAATGTAGAAACTAATGTAGAAACTAATGTAGAAACTAATGTAGAAACTAATGTAGAAACTAATGTAGAAACTAATGTAGAAACTAATGTAGAAACTAATGTAGAAACTAATGTAGAAACTAATGTAGAAACTAATGTAGAAACTAATGTAGAAACTAATGTAGAAACTAATGTAGAAACTAATGTAGAAACTAATGTAGAAACTAATGTAGAAACTAATGTAGAAACTAATGTAGAAACTAATGTAGAAACTAATGTAAAAACTAATGTAGAAACTAATGTAGAAACTAATGTAGAAACTAATGTAGAAACTAATGTAGAAACTAATGTAGAAACTAATGTAGAAACTAATGTAGAAACTAATGTAGAAACTAATGTAGAAACTAATGTAGAAACTAATGTAGAAACTAATGTAGAAACTAATGTAGAAACTAATGTAGAAACTAATGTAGAAACTAATGTAGAAACTAATGTAGAAACTAATGTAGAAACTAATGTAGAAACTAATGTAGAAACTAATGTAGAAACTAATGTAGAAACTAATGTAGAAACTAATGTAGAAACTAATGTAGAAGCTAATGTACAAACTAATGTAGAAACTAATGTAGAAACTAATGTAGAAACTAATGTAGAAACTGATATAGAAACTAATGAAGAAAAACTTGTGTAGAAACTAATGTAGAAACGTAAAAGAGAGAATTGTTTGATGCTGGTATAAAAGGCCTAGACATCTAGAGTGTTATATTTTCAAAAATATGTTAGCGCCTACAATAACATTTTAATAACAAATCAAGTAATTTTGAAAATTGAACATAATGTATTTTTAATATAATAATAGGCCATTATTATTAAAATACATACTAGGTTTTTTATAATAAATCGTTGAAATTTGTAAGTTCTTTCTATTAAAAATAAAATAGACACTATATTTTCTATGTAATCAATGATTGTTGTCATTTGTCGTTTTCATTCTTTTCACTTTACATATTGTGACGCGCAAGCGACCTTGAAGCTTGCCACCCGACTCATGGTCGAAACACCGGAATCTTGTACGGACCGTTTCGAGAAACTACCATAACAAGCGGTACATGCCGTTGTCATAGAGATGGAATTCTCGGACATTCCACATCGTCTAGAAACCTCTCGTACAGAGTTGGGTTTGGTATAAATAACGCGACTTATCGACGGACGGGCAGATTCGAATAAAGATAAATTGTACTAAATAAATTAGAATTGTAAATCATAGTGCCTAAGTATTATTTAAATTAATTAGTACTATAACTAACTATAAATAAATTAAACTATTGTTACAATATGCTCCAAATAAAAATTCAAAAACAATAATGCCTACTGCCCAATGAGAACTGCTCGAGTCGTTTTAAAATAATTTAGTGAGCTCCAAAATACATAATTTTACCGGTCCTGAACTCATTCGAAATTAACCAAAACAATGCCTAAATTGGAACTAGAACATACCAAATAATTCGTTGAGCGACACAATTTACAAATGAATTTGCAAAAGAATTTTCAACCAAGTTTACGACCGATATATCTGTCAAAACTAATCATAAACAAAGAAAAGTTAAGTGAGAAAATCAATTGAGGTTCAAAAAATTTAAAAGCAATTTTTTAAATATGAAAATTTATAATCTGAAATTTCCCTAACAAATTATGTAAAATACACCCACATATCCCTTAAGAAGGTCCTTTCGCCACACCTCTCGCCTCAAATGTTAAAAAAAAAGTTATTAGATTATGACTAAAATTAATTTTTTTCTAATAGTTGAAGTCCTTATTTATCTAATACTGAACTTTTAACTATACCTTACCTTGCAAATGTTTGAGAATTTTTTTTTTAAATGTGAGTATTTGTACAGTGCCTCACGAGAAAGTAAGTCCTCAACAACAATTCTCGAATTATACTATTATTTATTGATTAGATGGAGTAGAAAAAAACTAAAAATAAGGTTTTTGAAATATTAAGATTTTGTTTTATACAATAAAATATATATAGTAAACCGTGAAACTTATTGAGAAATTAATATTAAAAAATCACAAAAAAATTTTAAGTAACCTAATTGAAAATTTTTTGTGATTTTTTAATAATAATTTCTCAATAAATTCCACGGTAACCTATATATTTTATTGTAAAAAACAAAACCTAAATATTTCAAAAACCTTATTTTTAGTTTTTTTCTACTCCATCTAATCAATAAATAATAGTAAAATTAATTATAATTCGAAAATTGTTGTTGAAGTCTTACTTTCTCATAAGACACTGTACACACACATTAAAAAAAAAAAATTCTCAAAAATTTGCACGGTAAGGTATAGTTAAAAGTTCACTATTAGATAAATAAGGACATCTACTATTAGAAAAAAATTAATTTTAGTCATAATCTAATATTTTTTATTTAACATTGCTGGCGAAAGGACCTCCTTACGTGAACTGAGAATTAAAGAAAATAAAAAATGAATGCACCGACCAGGGTCAAACATGGAACCTTTAGACTAGAGACGGCCGCGGCTCTACTAGTTGGGTTATCGAGGCACATGGCTTCGACATTCGAACTTATAGATTTGAAATCAATCAGATTCCGACGCAAACACATTCTAATCTAAAACAACAGAAAACCGAGCTTTCTATATAGATCGCTACGCTATAACAAACACAATTGCGGTTTAAATTTTAACAAATTATACAAAATTATACCTATTTAATTCAGTGTCAAAGAGGTTTTAAGTATCCATCATATCTAAACGAACACGGTTTCCATAACTTTAAAATACATTTAATTTATAACGGATTAATTTTGTTTACAGAACAATAAATTCCGAGGATAAATAAATATTTTAAGAGACGCCTAGCAATGTTGAATGTTTTCAGTAAATTAGCAATATTCCAGAGCATAGGAACTCACGAGGGAATTTATATTCGAGCTTTAGTTGCATTAGCTGAGGAAATACAAACAGCAAATAAAGAAAATGTTGAATAAACATGCTAATGCTTGCAAAGCAAAAGTTTTATACATTAACTTTCCTCGCATGAGTTGGCTAATCAGTATAACGGAAGAAACGTTGCCAAATATTTCATTCTGAGCCCCATTATTAAGGGCTCGTTTTTTTGTCTTGATTTTATTTTGTTTATCTTTGGCTCTTTTTGATTAGGGATGGTGGCGTCCCAGCTGAAACGCATCTATAAATTTAGCGAAACGGAAGGGAGAACTTCAATCAATGGAAATTTATTCGTTTTCATTGTATTGATTGTTTTTAAGATGATTTCTGGGAATTACGAATATAAAAAAAGATACAGGATAGAAAGTGGAAATTGTCGGGGCGTCGCATTGTTGAACGTAATTTATAAATTGTCTGCAAGACTTTGCAGAAATAGATTAAATATACATCAGGAACATGGCAATGGAAACAAGAATTATATTAGCATACCAAATCTTAATGATTAATAGCTATGCTATTACTTAATAAAAATAAACTTAAACCAAGTCTAGGGTAAATGCACCAGTAGTTGACCATTTTAGACAAATTAAAAAAAATTGCAAAATTTTAGTGTTAATTTTTTACTAAACACAAAAATTACCAGATCGTTGGGCAATATGTTTTCTATCAAAAAGTTATATTTAATTTAACAAAAGCTTTAAATTTCAACTATCAAAAATTAATTTTAATCAAAATTATAGAAAAGCTTCTGTTTTTGACCAAAGATCTTCAGTAGATGACCATATATGACCCAGTACATGACCACTATTATTAAAACAAGATTTTAAAGAATTGTTTATTTATTACAAGTAACTTATGTCTACAAATACTAGAATTGATTTAGAAGACATTGTAGGAAAATTTATATTTTATCCTCTGGATAGCTATTCACTAAGTCATGGGAGCGCTCCCATGGGAGCGTTCCCATATATTTTGCTCTCTTACTCTTGGGTGGGTATATCGTGCTTACTCACTTTTAGCTCAGGTACATGCATAGTTAGGTCGGAGTAAGCACTATATACCCACCTAAGAGTAAGAGAGCAAAATATATGGGAACACTCCCACGGCAGCGCTCCCATGACTTAGTGAATAGCTACCCTGATCTGAATTTCTAATATTATTTGAATAAGGATAATTTCCTGACCGTAGCAGAATTTTATATAAATAAAAATTTTCCTTGGTTTAATCGGTCAAATGTTTTTATTTTATATTGTTTAGCACACTACATATGTTTCGGAAAATATAATTTTTCCATCTTCAGGAGCTGTCAATTTATAAAAATTATGGGGACGAATATAAACCGTTTGAAATTTTTAAAATCTTTCTATTTCACATCGTTTGAAGGTGTATTCGAAATAATAATTAATAATAGATAGATAGCACTTACAGACTAAGCCCTGGTATCAGCGCATTGACCCTGTTATTTTAGGTTTTGCTTACTCTAGCGGCAGGGGATTTTTTTTGTCCCAAGATTTTATTTCTGTCCTAGGGACATTGATTTTAGTTACATACATTTTAATTTTTATGCCATAACCGAGTAAATACATACACATATATTACTTTTTTACTTTTTGTCCAAGAGACAAACCTACTGTGGATATTATACTTAAATTACTTGAATATTATAACGTCACATGATTGTGGGAAATTGCGATTACTGATATTTTATGTTAGAACTCCAAAGTGACAGTCCGTATTCAACGCAGGCCACGGTAAGAGGTCACCCCAAAAAGCCTAGAACTGGGCCTGACCGAGCAAGGGCAACCACATCCGCAGCGCAAGCAATAGAAGGTGGCTTGTCCTATAAAGAGGCACTAACGCCCATGAAAATGGCGGTAGTGCCTAAAGAATTTCCCAAGAAAAAAATGACTGAGGACCAAGCAAATCAGACTCAGAAAAAACTGATTGGAGAAATTTTGAAGAGTGAGGAGGGATGAGGGCCGCAGTTCAAGAAGAGATATTTCCATAACGGAGCTCTCTTCTTGATCTGTGCCAATGATACCGCTAAAACCTGACTCTCCGAAATAATCCCCCAGCTCCAACCATGAGAGGGAGCACAACTTATGGTGGGACCTTTTAGCGAGATCGTCCGAACCAACAAAGTTGTGGCCTGGATACCCAAACCCATGCAGAATATGGAAACTACAAAAGTACTTGCGTTCCTCAAAACTTAAAACCATGGACTCCAAACGGAACAGTGGCAAGTCATTCACAGACAAGTGGAAGACAACGGCCAAACCATTGTACTACTGATTGACGACGACTCTCTGAAGACTTTAGAAAACCTGCAGTTAAAACCCTATCTGGGCCTCAGGCAATCTTCAGAGTGCAAAGGGAGAGGAAGGAAGAACCTTCAGATGCTCAGAATAATCTGAGACACTGCAAGGCCGCCTCCACAACCCTTGCACGTACCATTATCGGGGAGGACATAGACGCAGACCTAATACAAGAACCCTGGATCTACAAAGGGCATGTGATAGGGCTTGGACAATTAATATATAATACCCAACGTGGAAACACTAGGGCTTGTATATACAGACGTAATGGTCTAGACATCCTTAACTTACAAGATTTCTGTTGTAGAGACCTAGTAGCTGGATGGAAATAAACATAGCAGGCAACAAGAGGCCACTCATTTTAACCTCTGCTTACCTTCCCTATGACTCGCCCAGCCCT